AACACACATTGAAAAATTAATCTTAACATAAATGTCAACAAAATTTTCAATGATGACAGGGAGATAATATTGTGATGAAATGGTCACCTATACCATGAGAAGTAACAAAAACCTGAATATATAGATAAATTATAATTTCTACGCTAATAATAATTACTTATTTTGATTTTGGAACAATAGATCTAAAATTTTGCATGTAGGAACCCTTGATTTTGGGACACATCTAGAAAAGCCTAGACCAAGGTCCAAGTGTGCCTAACACCTAGCTAAATGGGACCAAGTTAAAAATAAGTTTAAACTATTTAGCTATGAAATATTGTTTATCTCTACTTTTTTATTTTCTAATAGTGAATAGAACTCCTAATTATTAATATATTTTTATAAAAAAAAGTTAGCTGACACGAGTATTTACAAAGTCATTTACCTTAAACCAAGGCTAGAAATGGCTATTATGTCAAATCTATATATAATAAAGGAGAAACATAGAGAAGGTGGTGTGACACCTCTCTATGATCTCTATTTGCATTTATCTTTTTCCTCCATTTTTTGACCTTTTTTATTTAAATTAATTATTTTATTGTAAAAATAAATTATTAAATTTATGATAAATAAATATTTTATTAAATGAAGAAACATTTACAACAAAGACTCTTCATATGTCTACAAGGAGTAACTCACACCTCTCTAATTTCTACGTACTCTTACAAAATTATTCCTTTTTTTTTTATCTTCTTCTAATTATAAATTATAAATATTTTTGATACTTTAAGTATTTTTCTAATATTATTTAATTTGTTTATAAGAAGTAAATATCTATGACTTACACCTATGTAATATTGGTCCTCCTAGAACCTTTTTTTTTCTTTTTTTCAACAACTCTAAATATTTGATTTTCCTCTCTTCATGACCACACTAATATTTATTTTATGTAATGATCAATGAGTAATTATAATACAAATTGCTTCTATTACGTTATCACTTCAATTCATTCCACTAGTCACTTTTTCTCAATCCCATTTTCTATAATTTTAATGAATATTTAATGTGGTATTCATTTCGAATATAAATGCTCAATCTTTATTTGTATATATAAATCAAACAAGACGATACTCATCTGTACTATACTGTTTAGCAAAAGTTGTGTTTTACTTTTGATAGCATTTGGTTTTTTTAGATTTTTCAATTATGAATTCTTTTCAGTCCTTTAACATATTTTTCTTGAATAAATTTTTTTATCCTTCTCAACATGTAGCGTTCCCTTTGATATCCTGGTGCTGATTCCTCTTCTTCATGTTGCATTTTTGGTGGATTAAACTGGTTAGCTCCATGTTAAAGTACATGGCCTAATGTACATTTTTGGATTAAAGTAATAATTTTTATTGTTGGTGTGGTTTTCTTTGTTCGTGGTTCTCATTGTTTTTCGTTTAATATGATTGAAAGTTTGTCTGCCATATTCTTGTATTGTTACTATGTTTTTGTATGTGTATAGGCTATAACTAAGGACTCATTGCTCTGGCTTTGGCTTCGCGCTTTTACAACATACAATTTATCTTTATAACAAATCTTCTAAGTTTTGTTTAAGAAAATATGAGATCGAATAATTCAATAGAATAGTATTGTGCAACTATTTAAAAGCTAAATTATAGTTCTTTTTTATGTCCTTGAGTTTTTTCTATTTATTTCTCAAGTACACTTGATTGAGCAAGAGATATGAGTTGTTTCTGTAATGTGGTTGAAGTATTGATTAATATAAATAATTCTCAATTTTATAATGGAGCTTTTTCCTATATAAATTAAAACATGAATATATTATATAACAAAAAATTGGGACAATAATAATATCAATAAATTCAGTATAATTTCACAAAGCGGGTCTATGGAGGATAGAATATATTCAGACCTTATCAATATCTTATAGGTAGACATGTTATTTCCAATAGACCCGCTCAAGAAAATAAAAATTCAAAGTAGAATAGAGAGAAATAATATAAATGAATACGGTCATGACAAAATATTACAATAACCTGACAAATTATCCTAAACAATAGTCATAATTACAAGCTACAACGATAATCAAGGTGTAAAAAAAACACAAAATCCAATTAATTTATTATCAATTTAAATGTTGAGATATAAAATCTCTCTTATATCTTGAATAAACTTAGGAATGAGTTCATTTTGTTAATTTATTTATTTAATTTCACATATTTGTTGATGTTTTACATCATCGCGCAAAGCGCGACTTAGTTTACTAGTATTTGGATAAACACCAATCATATTTTTTATATAAACATACGTTGATGTCATTTGACAAAGTGTGTAGACCACTTTTCTAACATGTCGATTAATTGTTTCGAGTAAATATTGAAAACATTCACTTGTCAATTGCTGACTAATATTATGTGCAAAGACATAAAAAATAGCTACAGATTTCATTGGATCGTATATAATAGAACTATAGTTGCAATCATAATTGACATGAGATTTTTTGTATGTATAAAATATAAAAGTTCAAGATATGTTTTAAAATTCTAAAAGAATTTGAAAGTATATTTGGCCCAAAAAAATGATCGTAATATCTATGGCCAAACGGGTTCGAAATAATCCTTTTTTAAACAATAATCCTCAGATAACCTATATTTTGTTCCTCTTATAGCATTTCTCAAGTCATCATAATAAATAAGACACAGAAAGCTAATACCATGTGTGTGGGGATTTAGTTTGACAAAAATTAGTGTAACGTATATGAGAAAACTTAGCAGAAACAAAAAAATTATGATATGAATCAAAATTAACATTTGAATAAGTAAAAGTGACTAAATATATTTTTAATTTTAAGTTGGAAGAAACGAAAAAAATTGTTTTATCAGTATATCAAAGATCCTTGATTTCAATGTCAGAAAAAATTAAAGTTGTTCTTGAATTTGGCGAATTTGATTTTTTTCCTGCATGTTTTAGACTTAAATCTAAGTCTGTTGATTTTATGACCTCGCGTTTGAGAATATCATACTAAAAACAGAATTATTTGACTATTTAAATTATAACGATATCATAAAATGAAACAAATAAATTATTACAGTGATGAAAACTCTTATCTAATGGAGTTACTGTTGAGTTACAACCTCCTTATGTAGGGAGAGAATTGTAAAGTCCTAAGTTAACTATACTTAGAGTCCTACTACAATATCTATTACTACTATAATACTAACAATAATGCAATTATAAATAATCTAATCCTAGTCGTAATATAATCCTCATCATAATATAATTCTAGTCGTAATATAATCCTAATTAATATAAGTAGTTTAATCCTAGTGTGACTCTGATTCTACGGCAGTGCTGTAAACACGTCAGTCAGCTTCGTTGGACATGTTCCAATCGTCAGCTTCCTTCTTCATCAACACTTGCTGCAGACACGCCAGTCAGCTTCGTTGGACCTGTTCCTTTAACATGTTCCAATCGTCAGCTTCCTTCTTCTTTAACACTTGTTGCAGACACGTCAGTCAGCTTCGTTGGACTTGTTCCTTTGACATGTTCCAATCGTCAGTTTCCTTCTTCTTCAACAGTTACTCCCTTCATTTCAAAATAATTAAATTGATAAGACATTGTTCATATTTCAAATTAACTTAATTGTTAAATCTTCAAGATTACTTTATATATATTCTTCCATTTTTGCCTTTCATTTGCATTTTCTATGTGATCAGTTCAAGAAACTTCAATTGCTTTGAATTATTTTTTACGTGATGAGTTCAAGACATTTTTGAATTATTTAGTATTGAAATTAATTATTATGATTAATGTTTAGTTATTATAAAGATTATTTTGACAATAATTACTAAGGGTAAAAGTGAAAAATAATATTTAATTTATGTCTTAAATCTTCTTTTCTTAAAGAATATGAAATACCCCAATAATTCAATTATTTAAAAATGGAGAGAATGCATTTTTCAAATAATTAAAGAGTTCTCTAAATTTTAAAGTAAAAAATAAAGAGTTTTTGAGTTTCACAAAAAGAAAAAGAGTACTTAAACTTCAAACTAGTAGTGCACATAAAGGGCGTGTTTTCTAGATGGAAAAATATATTTTTTATTCCAAGGTCAATCAAAAGATTTTAGAAATATACTTCTTTCCTATATTTTTACTTGTTCACTTTTAATTTTGCATCCCCGTTAAGAATAATAATTAATATAATTATTTTATTATAATATCTATATTAATTGATATTTCATCTTAGTCATTAAAAAATAATTTAAAAAAATATTAAAGATAAAACATGAAAGAAAATAAACTTTTTTTATACGAAAAGTGACATGTAAAAGTAAGAATATATATGTTTAATACAATAAACAGATAAAAGTAAATGGAAAAATATTTCTTTTTCAAAAAATAAGTTACGCAATAGTTAAGAAAAACAAAAGTAAGAAAAATAAGTTTCACATTAGCGTTTCAAGTTTTTTTTTTTTGGATTTTCCACCAGTGGAGGAGACACCTTATGGTTAGGGGGTTCAATCGAACCTCCTACGGGGGGAAATTATATTATCTATACATGCTTAAAATAATTTTTTAGGTATATATAGTAGTGTCGAACCCCTTCGCCTACTTTGTGTGTCTATCTATTCAGATTTTGAACTCCCTTATTGAAAATTCGGACTCCACCACTATTTTCCACCCATATCGAATCCCACATTGAAGCCCTGATTAAATCTCCTTCTTACCCACACAATACCCCCAACCTCTAAAAATATTATTATTATTATTATTATTTAGCTAACATTAAAATAAATACACTTATTCTTTAAAACATAATTCAAAATTTTACAATTCATATTACAAGGTATTTGGTAAAAATACTCTCTTAGTCCCTATAAAAACGCATCAATTCTTATGTTCCTCTTCACAAAAACAAACACCCTTTGTCATACTCATTTCCACTTTTGACACACAGAAAAAGGAATCCAATTACCTCTTCTCCCTTTTGTTTTCCATCTCCTTCAACAAAAATGTCATCTCAATTATCAGAAACTCACCGTGAAAATGCAGAGGTTTTCACCGACCCAACGATCTGCAAACAGAAATCTCTACAACTTCTCGAACAAATCAATATGCCAAAAGGGCTTCTCCCATTGGATGATCTAGTCGAAATAGGGCACAATAAACAAACCGGATTCGTATGGCTGAAACAGAAGAAGGCAAAAGAAAATCGGTTTAAGAAAATCGGAAAACTTGTCTGGTACGATACTGAGGTCACCGGATTCCTTGAAGATCGCCGGATGAAGAAACTCACCGGCGTTAAAAGTAAGGAACTGTTGATCTGGATAACAATTTCTGATATTTCTATTCACGACTCTGATTTACAGAAAATTACGTTTGCTACCCCTTCTGGAATTTCTAAGGCTTTTCCGGTGTCTGCGTTCGAAGAATAAGGGGAAGATATTGGTTTTACTATTTTTATTTTAATAATAATTATAATTTAACTACCTTTCACTTCTTGTTTTTTTTTTTTAATTTAATAATATTATTTTCTTTTTAAAGTTGTGTAATAGAAAAGAAATGTGAAAGTGAAACTATTTTCTCTCTTATTTTGGTGGTCAAAAATTCTATGTACTCTTTTCGTCCTAATTTTGTGGCATTTTTTGTTAATCAAAAATCAATTTGATTAGGAAACTAATCAAAAAGATGAATTTACTTTAATTTCTTAAGTTGCAATTTTTCTTCGGTCAATATATTGAATTTTACATTTAAAAATAAAATATATCACTTAAATTGAGAGTGATGAAATAATTCAATTTACTTTATTCATATTAACTTGGCATATTTCTTAAAAAAATATTTATTAGTGATTTATTATATTAAATTAATTTTATTAATAGTGCTTAAAATTGAATTTGACTATTACTAATGAAAATAATAAACTTTTCTTCATTTTATTAAAATAGACGAATAAAAAAAATTGGCTAGGAATTGAAATTATAAAATTCAATACAATATTGTTTCAAATTAAACAATAGCAACTAATCTCCTAAACTAAGCAAAGAAAATCAATGTCTATGGATACCTAATATACGTGCAGACACTCAAGTACGAAAAAGACCATCTTTTGTGCACTTAATTACCTAATACATAAATATGATACTTAATTTCAATTTAGCTTTAGCTAGCAATTATCGTCTTTAATTTTATTGGTATATAAGTAGGCACTTTAGCTATTCAAAATTTGAAAAAATAAACACTTAAAAAAGTGTGAAATACACATAAGTCACACGTGCTAGAGATAAAATTCGAGTATTTATTTGTTTAGGTTTTGAATAGTTAAAGTGTCCACTTGTATTGACAAACTTAAAGATCATAGTTTATCGTTTGTCAATTAAAATCAAATTAAGAATCATATTTATGTATTATGCATATACAATATTTATACACATATAGAACCACACACACATACTGTAACAACTTGTTCCCATCGTTATAGAAAAATCAACGGGTGGGCCGAAAAACTTTTGAGTAGTAACTTGGAATTTCCCAACCTAGTCCATATTTGGATGAAATCAGAGTCAGTAAGGTCTAGGGAAATCTGGTAACAATTGGGTGATCTAATATGGTTTTGATCACATGAGTAGATAGCTAAGACGTTAAGAAACTAGTACGACTTTACGAAATTGAATTCGGGCGAGTAGAAATCCCGGAATTGATCTTAGCGTGAACGGGTATTTTTTGAGTGTCATGGGATGAAGGTGTGTTCTGAAATGGGGGTTTGGAATTCTTTAATTTGCTCATTGTTTCTGTGCAAGCCGCTGTGACGGAATTATTCTCGTCAGGGTGTTGTAGCGAGGTGAGAACCGCTTTGGCGGGACGGTTGCGATTTGAGTCGGAAATAAACCCCAAAATCGATTTATTCTGCAAGTTTCGACTTTGAGAGCTAGGAGACGACCCCAGGTGCTTTCTTGACAGTTTTCCACCATTCTTGAGGCTAAAGATAAGGTTTTCACTCCCCGAATCCATGTTTCGATCCGTAGAACTTAGTTTCTTGGGTAATTATCGATGGGGAGGGTTTTGACCTGGAATTATGGTGGAAAAAGCCTTAATCTGGGTATGGGGATCAAGGGTTTAACCTAGGGTTGATCTTATTGATTATAATTTGGGTAATTAAGTCTTGTGTACTGATCCTAGCATTATATTGATTGTTTGTAGACCAAGAACAAGCGGAAAGAATCTGAAAAGGGAAAGATCAAGTTTCTTAGGGGATTCAAGCTTTGCTCGAGGTAGGTGATAGTTGTGATTTCATATTGGTGTGATATATGTTTGTAATTACTTCATTATAATGCATGTATGTATGTGAATGTTGCATTATTGATCACACTAATCGTAAATAAGTATGAACAAAGGACTACATGTCATGAATCACCTCTTATTGTATGATTGTGAGAATATACATTGTGATTGTAATTGTGGTTTGTTGAATGGAGCAGGTGTCACGTTCCGACACACTAACTGGGATCGGTTGCCACATACCGGCATAAATATTGGAATGGGTGTCACGATCATACATACTAACTTCGAACGGGTACCACGTACCGGTACACTAACAGTAGGATGCTATTGACAAACCTCGCTTAGAAGATTAGTGATCAATTGAATTCAAGGGTGAGTCAATTCTTCCGGGCTGCCATTAGTTCTCTTTCTGTTTATGTCCATATTTCGGACTTAGACTAGTACTTTAGATTTTCTTATGTTTAATTGGGGTGTACCCATTTTCTTAGACTTATGATCCTTGTTAGAGTTTTGTTACATTGACTTTCAGGTTCTAGGCGTTATTTCCGCATTTGTTTTGTTAGATGTTTTGGAGTTTATGGGAACTCTACTTTCCTTTAGCATTTAAACCTCCTTATGTATCTTTAAATGCCTTAGTTTTGGTTAAGTTGTTTAGTTTGGGTTGTATTAGTGGTTCTCCACAGAAGGGTTAGTGTGGGTGTCAATCATGACGATCTGGATCGTGACAAAGTTGGTATCAGAGCCTAGGTTCGTTGATCTCGATGTACCAAAACGAGTCTAGTAGAGTCTTGCGAAACGTTACGGAGATGTGTATACTTTTCTTCGAGAGGCTATAGGACTTTAGGAAATCTCTTTGTTTTATCTTGTCTCCTTTCGTGCTATAACTTGATTCCAATTGGTATCTGACTATTTGAATTGGTATCTAACCCCCTTCACTCTTTTGTCCGCAGATGGTTATCACTAGTTCAACGGCATCAGGCATGTAGCTCCCATCAACGCTCCAGCTGAGGAATCTGCAGCCAGAGATCGCGGTCGAGGTAGGGATGGAGGAAGAGCTAGGGGTAGAGGCTAAAGAAGGGCGGCGCCTACTAGGGATGGAGCTCCGGTTGAGAATGCTCCTAGAAATGAGGATCCTCTTGTGCATCATGAAGAGATAGAAGAAAATGTTGAGATTGAGGATGAGGAGAATGTTGGACGGGAGGAATAAGTGTAGGCTGAGACTACAGGTGTTCCTCCCTTAGAACCAGTGTTAGCTCAACAGATTATGTCGTTCCTGAAAGGATTGGTTGGTCCTGAAGTGCTTCCCTCTGTTCAAGCAACTCAAGCTCCCGCTAATCCCCCTATTGTTATCACTGTCCCCAAGGTGGGTGGAACTGTAGGTAATGATGCTTTTTTCTGTCCTTTGTTGGGTCATGTTATGACTGGTAATGAGTAGGAGATATTGACTAAGTTCTTGAAATTGAAACCACATGTGTTCCATGGTCTGAGAGTGAGGACATATATGGGTTTATTCTAGATTGTTATGAGAGGCTTCATAAGTTGGGAATTGTCCATCAGTATGGAGTTGAGTTTGTGACTTTTCAGCTTCAAGGTGAGGCTAAGCAGTGGTGGAGAGCTTATGTGGAATGCAGATCTTCAATTTTACCCCCACTCACTTGGACTCAGTTTCATGCTCTGTGCTTGGAGAAGTATGTGCCTCGGACGTTGAGAGATTGTAAGAATGATGAGTTCATGGCTTTGGAGCAAGATGGTATGTTTGTGGCTGCTTATGAGGTCAAGTACCATGCTTTGTCGAGATATTCTACGCAATTGGTGACTATTGAGGAATAGGGGATCCGCCTCTTTGTTAAGAGGGACTAAATTCTGAGTTGCAGGTATTGTCTGTTCATATGATCTCCGCGGGAAAAAACTTCAATGAGGTAACAAATTATGTGAAGAAAGTGGAAGGGGTGAGGCGAGACAGTCAGGCTAAGGCATTGGCTAAGAAAGCCAAGAATTCAAGTAACTTTCAGAGATCTTACTCCAAAGGTTTAAAAAGGTCGACACTGGCAACCCGGCCAATTCAGTCCTCTATGCCCGCCTCTATAGGTAATTACTCGGGAACTCTACCTCAGAATTTGATTCAGGATAGCTAGGGACACGCACCTTCGGCAGGGAGCAGACCATCTATTTATCGCACTTGTAATAACTGTGGAGAACCTGGGCATATGAGGAGAGATTGTCCCCACCCGCGCAGCAGCAGTTGTTGACACTCAATTTTAGCCTAATATTTTCAAAATTCGTAACTTTTAAGTTTTATTTATTTAATAGTTCAAAATAACTTTTTTTTTATAATTTTAAATAAGTTTATCGATAACTATCCTTATTCATCAAAATTTAGAATTTTTTTATCATTTAATTTTAAAATTGCATTTCTACATGTCATTAGTTACGTTCATTATTTTTTTTAATATTCATTTTAATTGTTACATTTGTTAATATTCATTTTGATATTTTGCACAGTCTAGAAATTCATTCAAATACGAATATTTTATTTAACCAAAAATTTTGGGTCATAATCTCAAGCCCACAATTTGAGCCTATTATAAAATTATTTTCTATATAAATTTTGGTTATGTTAAAAAAATAAGGGGGGAAGAATTTCCAAATGGGAGAACCATAATCGTTCTCTCCTCCTATATCCTCCTAAAGCCGCCACCCAAAAAAGGAGATCTCTTCCCCTTCGCCCGTAGCTATCGATTTTTTTTCCACTCTTTTCCAGTGGCCAGCACCTCCATTCTCGTCTTCCTTCTCCAACGTCAACATCCACCTCGATTCCTCATTTTCCGGCCAACATCACAACCAAACTCCACCACTACCTCTCCGTTTTCCTCAACAAACACCCAAACCCCGACCAGACCCACCTTTTCCAGCAACCAAATAACAACCAGGCGACTGCCAGCTTCCATTTCCCTCCTATCATCTTCTCCGGCGAAGCTACGACACCAGAGAAGCTAACAACAAACCAACACGCAAACAACCACCAGACCGTCTTCATTCCCCACTATTTTTTCCGGTGAAAATAAGTCCCAAAAGGAACCAACATCCCTTCCACTTTCCCCCTTTCGATTTTCGTTTGTTTTTGTAGGTATTCCGGCGAATAACAACACGACCA